TGACACCTGCCCAGACCCACGACAGTGACCAGAAAAGCTGGAGAAGACAGCAGATTGAGGGCAAGTGTGCCCAAGTGTAGGAGGAGTCGGAAATGGGGCTGCAGAAGAAGATTGGCACGGGGGATTTAAACCCAGACATGGCAGCCATTGGGGGAGAACCACGTGGCCTTGACAGAGTGGAGACTCCCGCAGCCCTGAGAGAGAGAACCACGTGGCCTGGACAGAGTGGGGACTCTCCCTTCCTGAAGCCCTGAGAGAGGAGAGAACCACTCAGCCTGGACAGAGTGGGGACTCCCGTGGCCCTGGGAGAGAGGACCACGTGTCTTTGCCAGAGTGGGGACCCCTGCAGCTTTAGAAGGGGGAACCACCACCTGGTTTTAGCAGAGATCCCGGCGACTCAGCTGAGGGTGCTGGGAACCCAAGGAGGTCTCCCAGTCGAGATGGAGTACTAACTGGGAAGAACCAGAGGACTGCCTGAGCCATGGACTTCTATTTCCTTTCCTGAGATACGGTACTCTGGACTGGGCAAAGGGGGAAGGAAGGAAGGAAGGACTGTGTGTTTGTGGGTGTTTTTAGGGACTTTAGGATTTTTGATAAAGACATTAGGTCACTACTTGAAGTTTGTATAGCATTAAATAAACATTTCCTTTCTTTTTCACGAATCTCTGGCATTGAGAGACGTCTTTCCTAGGGCGGCGGACATAACAGACCCGGGGCCTTCTTTTAATAATAGTATATCATCCCAGTCCCCTCCCCTTGTTTGTTCTGTAACACTATTTCAACTTCTGCCCAACTTTTTCCTAAATAACTAAGTCTAAAGATCCCTTATCAGGGAGACATCTAGCAGCCTTAAAAAGCTGCTGAATTAGCCTAAAACATTGCTCCTATTCCTTAAAGAGTCTGTTCCCCATAGTAGAGGATTCATAGAACCTTAAAAATTGTTTTAACAAGTAAAAGAAGCTTCTCTGAAATTCCTCCCACCTCAAACTCAGTGATTATATAAAACCAGTTTCAGTTTTGCTTTCTCTTTGTGTTCACCTTTAAATCCTACTTCTTGCTAGTGAGGGGAGTATAGTGGGTCGAAATGTGCTATTAGTGAAAGACAGTCAGGGAGAGGGGTACCGGACATTCCAGGTACCCTAACCCTGCTCATGGGTTTCAGGTCCTCCCTGACATGTCTAAGACTGCGAGGGGGAGCTCAAAGCACTAGGTGACCAACCTTTATATGGCATTTCCCGAACAAGCCAGAAGTTAGATTAAGCAGTGTTGCAGGTCCCTGTAAGGCCCCTGCATGTCTCTGGAATTGATCCCAGACACCTCCAAAAGGTCCCTACTCACATAGGAATGCCTGAGATCTCAAGCTGGAGGGAGGAATGCCTCTTGTCTTCAGTGCTCAGCAAGAACCTAAGACATTCATAAATAACTCTGTAACTAACACTGAGTTCTAAAAGCTATCTCCAGAGTCCAGTTGAAACCAAAACACTCATTTGCTATTGGCTTTTCTGTTTATAGGCAGGTGGAGGGAAAAGGCAAAATTGAAAGGGCCATGAGAGATGGTTTAAAAGAAAGAATTTGCTGAGTAGTTTGTAAATTGTCCTGTAACTAATTGATGTTTTTAAAGCTGATTAAAGGGAAAAATCTTTGCTCTTTTCCCAAGCCTAGACCTATTTGGGGGTTGTGCTGTGGGGATGGGCTTATGGGTGTTTTTACAATGTGCCTCTTTTTGTGTGGACTTTTGCTTGTGGCTGGGGGGAAACCTAGTATTCTGACCCATTCTACATCCAGCTAAGCCTCTCCTGGGAATCTTTATTGCAGCGGGCACTCTTGTGTCTCTTAATTGCTTGACCCGTGCCTACAAGATTGCAGCAAATGCTTGGGAGAGAGAGCAAGGCTTACTAACAAAGGTACAGTTGCAAAGTAGTCACAAGAGAGGGCAACCTAGGAAGAAAACCCTTTTCCTCTGAAATCCTACACACACCTATGACCTAAGTGCCACTCGGTGTTGTTGGCCCTTACCTGGGCTGATGTGCTCACTCCAACCAAGTTGGTATGTTGTTCACCATGATGGCTTGTAGCCGTGGGTCTCTGTTTCTGGGTGCCAGCTGATGCAGACACCAGCCCACAGTGTCTATGGTGTTATGGCTGAGACAAGACAAATTCACATGGACTACTGAGTCCTGTGGAGGACAAGGGATAGCACGGCCACTCTCTCAAGGTGAGAGTGCCCTGACCAATGCCTTAACAAGCTTTTATTGGTTTTAATTTGCATAGGAATACAGGGCATATATGAAAAGCTCATCAATTATTGTCAGGCAGTAATGATCAAATAGACAACATTCAAAGAACTCTGAGGGCCTATTTTGAGTCAGGATCAAATAGCTAAAGGGCCAGAAAACTTGGGGAAACAAACTTATTTCATGCTTGGACCTTTATCATTTAAATGGAGGGTATTAGCAAAGCAGGTTTCACAGGATTTTATGCATTCTTTCTTAGGCCTGATCATCCCAGGGAACCCACCCTTTCCAGCACAGGGCTGCACCCACCTGCAGCATTGTTTCAGGCTTAGGTTGAGCAGGGGAAGTAGGCAGCTGAGAGATTAGGAGACTTCTTGCAGACAGAACGAGGACTCAGGCTATGCCAAAGCAGAGGGTTGAGGGTCCATCACCCTCTTTCTCCATAGCCCCCCAAGTCCTTCCCTGAGGGCCCCCTTGTGACCATGACTGTCTTAGGTCATCCCTCCCTTCAGGAATCTTACTTGTCATTGGCTAACCGGTCATGCACTGGGGACCAGGCAGGGTCAAGTAAAGTGGGCAGAGGTGGTGGCCCCACCAGGAGGATAAGCTTTATCTCCTTAGTGGCTTAGAGTACCAGGGTCTCTCACTCAGCCTTAGACATGGGGTGTTACACCTTCTGAAACCAGGCAGGGTGGTCTCCAACACACCCTTATATTCATTGCACCTTTTTTTCAATAGCCAATATTTGGAAACAATCCAAGTGCCCATCAGTAGATGAGTGGATAAAAAGGCTGTGGTATCTTGCTATTTTGCTGAATTCACAATTGCTGCAAAAAGAATAAAATACCTAGGAATAAGCCTAACCAAGGATGTAAAATACCTGTACTCAGGAAATTATAAGACACAGAAGAAAGAAATTGAAGAAGGTACAAATGAGTGGAAGCACATACCGTGTTCCTGGATAGGAATAATTATCATCATTAAAATGTCCATACTACACAAAGCAATCAGTAGATACAATGCAATTCCTATCAAGATTCCAATGACATATTTCAGAGAATTAGAACAAATATTTCAAAAATTTATGTAGAACCTCAAAAGGTCCCACATAGCAATAGTGATGCTAAGAAAGAAGAACAAAGTTGGAGGAATCACACTACCTCATATTAAACTGTACTATAAGACCATAGTAATCAAAACAGCATGGTACTGGCATTAAAGCAGACACATAGATCAATGGAATGGAATACAGAGCTCAGAAATAAGCCTACACCTTTATAGTAAACTAGTGTTTGACAGAGGAAGCAAGCACATACAATGGGCTAAAGATAATTTATTCAATAAATGGTGTTGGGAAAATTGAACAGACACATGCAGAAAAATGAAACTAGACCACCTTCTTACACCACACACAAGAATCCAAAATGGATCAAAGACTTAAATGTTAGACCTGAAATCATAAAAGCTGTAGAAGAAAACATAGGCAGCAAAATCTCAGTCATTGCTCATAGCAATTTTTTATTGGGTAAATCTCCCTAGGCAAGGGCAACAAAAGAAAAAAATAAACAAATGGGACTACATTAAACTAAAAAGTTTTTGCACAGCAAAGGAAATCATCAACAAAATAAAAAGACAACCCACAGAATGGGAGAACATATTCGCTGATACATCTGATGAAGAATTAATATCCAAAATTTACACAGTACTTATAAAACTCAACACCACATAAACAAACAATCCAATTAAATAGTGGGCAAAGGACCTGAATAGACACTTCTTTGAGGAAGACATACAGATGGCCAATAGACACATGAAAAGATGCTCAATGTCACTAATCATCAGAGAACTGCAAGTTAAAACCACAATGAGATACCATCTCACACCTGTCAGAATGGCTATAATAAATCAATCAACAAACAACAAATGTTGGTGGAGATGTGAAGAAAGGGGAACACTTTTGCACTGTTGGTGAAAATGCAGACGGGTGTGGCCACTGCGGAAGACTGTATGGAGATATCTCAAAAAATTAAAAATGGATCTTCCTTTTGACCCAGTGATCCCACTGCTGGGAATATATCTAAAGGAACACTAATTTGAAAGCACATAAGTGCCTCTATGTTCATTGCAGCTTTGTTTACAATCATTAAGACATGGAAGCAGTCCAGTGTCCATCAATAGATGAGTGGATAAAACAACTATGGGACATTTTGCACAATGGAATATTACTTGGTCATAAAAAGAAAAAATGTTACCATTTGTGACAGTATGGATGGACCTGGAGAACATTATGCTAAGTGAAATAAGCCAGTCAGAGAAAGACAAATACCATATGATTCCACTCATTGTGGAATCTAATGAACAAACTGAATTAACAAGGAAAATGAGGACAGACTTACAGACAGAGAGCAGGATGACAGCTAGTAGTAGGGGGAATGTTCCAGGGTGGAGGGATTGAGCAACAAGGAAAAAGGACTCATGGACGTGGACAACAGTATGGTATTTGCTGGGAGGAAGGGAGTATAAGGGAACTAAATGGTAATGGAAAAATATATAATAAAGATTAAATCAAACAAACAAACAAACAAACAAAACCATAGATTTTTCTCTCCTGGCCCTTAGCCATGTCCTTTGTCCACTGGGGCTGGGGCCTCTGCAACCATCAGCACAGGAAGAGGACAATAGAACAGTGGTGACAAAAAAAACCAAACAAACCCAGAAATTAAACCAGTCTATACAAAGTTAGTGAGCAGGTTCTGTATTTATTTTTTCAATTCAAGCAGCAGAATATAATAACATATGGTAGAAAGAGACATAGGGTCTGTGCTTTGGGATTCCCAGGGCAGTCACAGATACGGGGAAGGAGGTCAGCAACTGGGTTTTAGAAAGTCTGTGGTTTTCTGGATACAAGATAGAGGAATCTTCTAGACCAAAGCTCAAGATTGCTGGGACTTCTCTGCCGCTCCAAGGCTCACGGGGAAGAGGAGGTCAGGTAGACTCCACTTCAGCAGCAGCCTCCAGAGGACTGACCACTGCTCCCTTCGCAGCAGCTGGAGCCCCCTCCACAGCAGCTGGAGCTCTCTCCACAGCAGCTGGAGCCACCTCCACAGCAGCTGGAGCCCCCAGAGGGCTGGCTGCAGCAGTCAGACCTCCTGTGTCTGAGGCGAAGGGACCTGCGGGGCTTGTGGTGGCTCAGGCAGCAGCCACCACCCCCAGAGCTGTGGCCACAGCAGCCACCACCTCCAGAGCTGCAGCAGCTCCCACACCCAGAGCTGACACTGCAGCAGGAAGAGACTGGAGGGCACTTGGGGGGACACTTTGGGGGGCATTTTGGGGTGGGGCACTTGGGAGGGCACTTGGGGGTGCACTTGGGAGGGGGCTGGCACTGCTGCTGGTTCTGCTGGCAGGACATCTTGGCGGGCAGGTCAGGAGCTGAGGGAGAAACAGACAGCAGGTCAGCTCCATGACAGAGGCCACCTTTTTTTTCCTTACTCACTTAACATCACTTATAATCTCCAGTAGTTTTATTACTTTTAGTGATTTTCCCATACTCTTGCATCATCTCTTTGGAACATCAGCACATCCTTGTAAGTCAAACAACTTTTATCTACTGCACAAAGTATCAAAATAAGACCTAAGTATATTACAAAATACACTGAAGAGTATAAAGTTTTATAAGTGGAGATGTAACTGATTCCAGCTCTGCATTCCAAATCTGAAGTTGTTTTATTTGTAGGTCATTTTAAGGGAATATAATTCTTCAAGGAAAAGCACAATAACTACTGCTTCTTGTCATAATTTCCATGATGACTTTATTCTGTAAAATTGGGTTGCAAAGAATCTTAGAGATTACCCTCCTCAGTAAACCCTTGTTATTAAGGAAGAAACTGGTAAACATCTCCATTACTGCAAACCTGGGACTTGACCTCAGCCCCTGATCTCAGACCAGAGCTCAGCTCTTCACTCTCCACTTCCTCAAGCTGATAGGGAGGCCTCGTGAGATTCTCAGGCTTGCTGTGTCCCAGTCAACATGGGGAGATTGTAATACATTCCCGGAGCCATGAATATTCAGGTTTAATAAGCCCAAAGGAGACTGAGGTCCCTTCCATGGCTCCTGCTCCTCCTTTGCAGGCAAGACCAAGGCTGTGTTTTCAAAGGTGAGCTCTCTCCTGACATTTGTCAGAGTGGAGCACAATGCCCTTGACTCAGTGTCCCTGTCCTGAGAGGCTCAATCCACTGAAGATACATTACTTTTCTCTAGAGCCCAAAGGGTCTATGACCCCTGTTGGTGTCAGACCCCTTGCTACATCCCTCCCTTGGTCTTCCTGAACCCTCTTCCTCTGACACAGTGGCTGCCCCCTGCCCAAGGCCCTGCCCACCTGCCCTCCTGCTCTGGTCTGAGCTTCCCACAATGGAGACCCTGCTCCTTTCCCAGTGGACACTTACCAAGTGCACAAGCAGCACAGGGTCTGTCACCACCTCAGGATGGAGTGGATGGAGTTGCTCTGGCCCTGAGAACCTTTTATCTTGGTCTTGGGCTTCACCCTAGCAGGTGACACAGGGCCTGGGCATGAGAGGACTGCCTTCTGCCACCCACACGTCCTGTGACAGCTGATGACTGGCCACTCCTCCCTGCCTCCCTCCATGTAGCTCAGGCTCAGGGTACCCAGCTGGAGCTAAGAATGGGGCTGCTTAGAAACAAGGAGGGTGGGGTGGGGGCAAATTATGTTAATCCTCTGCCTCATCTCCTTGGGAAGTATCAGCCAGGAAGGGCTCTTTGCTCCTGGTTCTCAACCTTGGGCCCCAGTTCCTTTCTTTCCTTCTTCTGGCTGATATATGCATAAATTCATTGGCTCAGGCAGCCTGTTTTGGACTATAATTCAGAGATGGCTTCATATTTCTCCACTTGTGTTCAAGTTCAAATCATTCCGCAAGGCTACCAAAGGTTGTTGATTTTGATCTGCAGCCCAAATATGTCCACTGTCTGTTTTGTATAGCCTGCAAGCTATGAATGGCTTCATGTGTTTAAATATCTAGGAAGAAAACTAAAGAGGAGAATATTATATAACATCTGAAAATTATATTAAATTCAAATTTCAGTGTTCATCTATGCTCATTTCTTTATTATCTATGGCTACTTTCACAATGCAATGGTAGAGTTGAGTCTCCCCAAACCTAAAATATTTATTCTTTAGTTCTTTACCAAAAAATGTGCCAGTCCACACTGTATCCCATTGCTTTGAAGAGGCTGGAGTTAGCAAGACCTAGAAAATAATCCTCATTCTGCCACCTGGTAGCTGTATGTCCTTGTGAAAGTTACTTAATTTATTTTTAATTTTGTTTGATTGTTTTCTCTATTATAAAAATATGAATAGTGATGAAAATATCTCACAGAAATATTGTGCCAGTCAGTAACATAATATAAAGAACCTGAAGGAAGACCTATAATATGGTAGACCCTCAAATAACAATGCCTCTCTATTCATAAATAGTGGAAAAATAGATAATTATTTTTAAGTCATAGTGTTTTTCAAAGGAGGGTAAATCTGGATTTTTTCCTTCAAATTACTTACTTTATTTTTCTATTGTATTCCTCTTTGTTTTATTAAACATCTTGATGTATTTGACTATGAAAATATAGCCAGGAAAAGAGTTCGTGGTGAGGATTTGGGGAGCTCTGTTTTGTGCCACTTAGTTAGACAAATCTGGGGCCACATGGAATTCTGAGATACCAGGGCCAGGGAAACTGGAAGTGAGGTGGTACAGCAACCTCTGAAGGCTCTTAAATCTCTTAAGTCAGTTTTGGGTTGTGTCCTTACATTTTTATTATTGTTGTCTCAGCTTGAAGAGTGTGTCTATTCCTATACTTTCAGTAGATGAAGGGCAAGGGCTAGAGTTCACATCTGGTTCAAGTTGGTGTACAGCACCACAGTGACATTGTCCAAAATTAAACTAATTAAATAATTAGAAGAAGGCAAATTGAAGCCATAAGAACTATATGAAAAAAAACCTCCTTTTCTGTCAGTGGCAGAAGAATTGGGACAGAATCAAAAATTCCCCAGAGCCTACAACTGCATAACAAATTAATAAGTTGCAAGATGAAGAGTGAAGCCAGTTAACAAGTAGTTGCAATATATAAATATGTTTATTTTTATGTATTTGGATGTGCAAATAATATGTCCTTCATGTGTGCATGTTTATTTAAATGTATACACACATATTTTATGATAATTGTGTGTGTATATAGGTACTTTATTGTTTGTTTTGGTTTCCAACCTTTCTAGTTTTTTTCCTCTATCTCATCTACATTAGGATTCTTCTAAAAACAATTACCTGTGATCATTTAATAGGGTGACTATATATTCCAGTTTGCCAGGGACAGTTTTGGATCATGCCTTTTGTCCAAACATAAATTATCATAAATCTGAATTTCAACTGTATTTCAGTTTGGATATTTTATACAATCATACTACTATTACATGAAGTCTTCTCAAGGGCCTCCACTGACACAGGACAAAATTTAAACTCCTTGCCCTGGCATTCAAATATATATGCAGTATGAACACAGTCTGTTTCTACAGGTTTTTCTTTGCCCTCTTAAGAGAGGAAAATTCTGCTCTTAAGCTGCACTTCATTAGCTTTGCTTTGATCAGTTCCTTGCCCCACCTTTGTTTTACTTTTTGTGATATATCTGTGATATGAAACTGAATACTTCTTGAGAGCAAGAGTCTGGATATGCTATGTTTGTAATCCCTGTCAGCATCTAGGAATCAGATAGGCATATATAGTCATGTCACCAGCATTTCATAGCACCTGAGTATTTGCAAATAGCTCTTCTATGTGATTTAGGCAGTCAGATAAAAGTTTGACATTAAGACATGCACAAATGCTGACCATGTCATCCTACAAAGATCTGCCTCTATATTACTCAGATATGATGTGGTTCTCAGGTTGTTCCAAAGGGCTTAATTATGGAAGGAGAGGTCAGCATATTGATTCCCTGGATCACACAGGCAGTACATCTCAGGAGCCCAGTTCAGGGATTCCTAGGATGATGGAGCTCAGATGCCAAAGAGTCATGCCTCTGCCTCCAGCAAAGGAAGAGCCCAACCATCAATTAATCTGGCTTTGAGGCAGGTGATAAATCAATAGCATGGTTGAAATGCCATGAGGACTCCTTTCTAAGCCTTGGTTATTAGATTGCAATTGATTTGGTAATGTTTAATAGAAAAAATGTTTAATGACAAAGGATTGGTTTTCTGAGGTCACTTACTCTAAGGTGTCTGTCTACTACACGCTCTGTTACTCTCAGGGGATAAAGGGAAACACCACTGAAATCTATGGGAAGTTATGAAAACTGTGACTACAGTCCCTTCTAGAGACAGAGCCTTATTACATTATTGATTTTTAGTTTGTTTCTCTTCCTTTTAAAACCTTTATTTTGTATTATAAATTATTTTTATAAATTTATTTTTTTATTTTTATTTATTTATTTTTAGAGAGGGGCAGGGAGGGAAAAAGAGAGGGAGAGAAACATCAATGTGTGGTTACCTCTCATGTGCCCCATCCTGGGGACCTGGCTCGCAACCCAGGCATGTGCTCTGACTGGGAATTGAATCAGCAACCCTTTGGTTCACAGGCTGGCACTCAGTGCACTGAGCCACACCAGGGCTGTATTATAACTTATTTTTTAAAGTATACTTTAAAAATATCATAAAAATATTATTTTAAATTCACTGAGAAAAATTATTTTGAGTGATAAAAGGAAAGGAAATATAAAAGAAAAGTTGATAAATGTATATATGAAAAGTTAAAAATTTATATTGAAAGTAATATCATATATAAGACAGAAAGAAAAGCAAGTAGTTGGGGTAAATTATAACGTTTACTAGAAATATAGAAAATAGGCTCTTACAAAGCAAAAGGAAATATGCAAGCATACTTTAAAAAAGGATAAGAGAAAAACATGAACAGATAACACACACACCGGAAAGAAATACAAATGGCAAAAAAGAATTGAAAATTTTACTATTCATCAAAGAATAGTAAAATTTACTATTCATCAAAGAATAGTAAAATCAAAAAATCAAAAAGAGACATCTTGTCTTTTTTTTTTAATCCTCACTTGAGGATTTGTTTTCATGGATTTTAGAGAGAGAAGAAGGAAGGGGGAGAGAGAGAGAGAGAGAGAGAGAGAAAACAACATAGATGTGAGAGAGAAACATTGATCAATTGCCTCCTGTATGTGCCCTGACCAGGGACCGAAACCGCAACCTTTAGATGTATGAGACAATGCTCCAACTGAGCCACCCAACTAGGGAAGAAATAACTTTTCTTTTTTTTTAATGCTACAGTGTCTATTCAATCTATGCATTCAAATTAGACTGGCAGAGAGTGAGTGCTTAACAGAAGCTCTGTGTTGGAAAGGAAACCTGGAATTGGGTAGTCATGTTTCAACTGACATAATTATTATGCATGATAATATAATGATTCATTCATTCAGTACATACTTCATGATGTATAAACAAATTAAAATGTAAAGTGAGCATACTCTTTTACAGCATTTGAATATCTAGGAATTTAGCCTAAGGAGATAAGGGAATGATAAGAAATGAATATATGTGTAAAAATGTTCCCTGTATCTAATTACAAATAATAAGAGTACAGAGAGTTTTCAGACACAAGATCGATATTCTTATATTTCTTTAAAAATAACTGCTAGAAGATAAAAGAAATTTAAAGGTGCTATTTAAAAAACAGCAAAATATGTTATATAACACTTGCATATTTTAAAACGAAAAAAGCATTTATTTATAAAATGTTAAAACTATGGAAAGATAGTTTAAAAGATCTAAGTAAATAGAGAACTCTAGTATATATTCATGGTATATGGAAAAAAGTAAATATTATTCAAATGAAAATTCTCTCCCTCCTCCATTGATATTATATATATTTAATATAATGCCAGTCAAAACTCCAACAGCACATTTTGCTTCCCTTTATTTTGCCTTGACCTTGTGGAATGTGACAAGCTATTCTAAAAATTATACAGAAGAACAAATACTGGGAGAAACATAATTATATAGGTATAGTAATAAAAGACAATGGATAATCTTACAGACAATGGGTAATCTCCATGACCTGAGCAATGGAACAGAATTGTGGGCCTAGCTTTAGAAACATACAAATATGCAAACTTGCTATATGACAAAACTGGAAGGCAGATTATTAGAAAATAATGACTATTTCATCCAATAAAAGTTACCATAAGATATAAAGAAAATATAGGAGAATACTCTAAATAAATAATGATAAAAATGATTTCTTAAGTGAGACATAAAAGCCACAAATTATAAAGTAAAAATGTTTAAATCTGGCTATATTAAAGCTCTACATTTTTATCCATTAGAAACTGTAAAACATTAGAAACTGTAAAAAGCCAGCACTGGGGGAAGATATTGGCAATATCTTTCTAAA